CCCCAAAACCCCAAAACCCCTTGATGTCATTTTATTTCTTGATAAATTAAATTAGTTTTAGAAATATTCATTTATTAAATGGAGAGAAGCCAGATTCAAAAAAAACAAAATTTGATCAATAATGGAAAACTAGCAATTGGAGGTGCAATAAGAGGCTCTAATTTGTTTAGAGCTTAGAAAGTGTTAGGAGTTAATGAATAGCAAACTAATACTTGAAACTAAAAGGTATAAGAGGTTCAGCAACTCTCAAGCCCCCTTAAAACTTCAATAAGAGATAGAGATAATTTAAACTAATAACAGGCAACCTTAAATTAACCCGAAGATAGAATTAAGGTTGATATAAAATTTAGCGCAGTTTCAAGGCCTGTAAACTAATTATCTCATGGTACAGTTCCTAAGCCAGAGCCAAAGCCTGGTAAAGGTATTAGCGTTTCTAAAAAGATTACTAAGCAGTAAAGTTTGTCCCAGCAAATATGTCTGTACATTATGCTCTATGATGAATCTTCATTTATTATGGTGATTGGTAAAATACTTAAAAACGAAAAAATGTATAATTAATTATGCAGTGAATTTGAAAGTGGAACTTAAGCTGATACATGCTTTCATATGGCTACGCTAACCTTTATGAAGCATCCATTCTTCCTCGAATACTTACTAAATACTGACATCCCTATGAATCACTTCAATAATGACGGTTTATTGCCTTGGTTTCTGCTATGCCATTATCATGATGACCGAGAATTCGAAAAATTATTTAACCTATTTATGAAGCATAGACCTTCAGAAATGAACTTAAATATAGTGAGTCCAAAAGGAAAATGCAAAAATAAGACACTATATCACATTGTGATGGCTAAATGCCCTACTCTTCACAAATTGAAAATGTTTATTGATTACGAGTATGATTTTAAAACTGATTATGAATTGCTTTTCAAGACAATAGATATGATCAATAATTGTAACTATAATGAATGTGGGTATGAGGAAAGAGAAAAAATAGTAGAAACTCTATATAATGTTACTGAGGCATAAAGAAAATTAGAATTTGTAAAAATAATTGAATCATCAAAAAATATAATGAACACAAACCCTAGTAACAGGATACCTTAGGGATTGAAAATGCTTGCTAGTTTAACTGATGGAAAACTAAGAGAAATTGCTAAATATATTTGATTTGTGGAATATTCATAGTAGAAAACTAAAGAGTAAAAATATAGAAAATTTGAAATATCTTTATTTTTGAATATAATAGTTAGACTTATAATACGATTTCAATATATAAGGAACACACAGGGGGTTTTGGGGTTTTGGGG